AGATATCTCAACCTGATAAAGGTTATCTATGAAAAACCAACAGCCAATATCATTCTAAATGGTCAAAAACTGAAAACTTTCATGCTAAATTCAGGAACAAGACAAGGATGTCCACTATCACCGCTCCTGTTCAATATAGTTCTAGAAACATTAGCCACAGCAATTAGACAAGAGAAAGAAATAAAAGGATAAAGATAGGAAGGGAAGAAGTTAAATTGTCACTAGTTGCTGATGATATGATACTCTACATAGAAGATCCAAAAAACTCTGCAAAAGGCTGCTAGACTTAATTAACAGATTCAGTAGAGTTGCTGGATACAAGGTCAACACTTAAAAATCAATAGCCTTCTTGTGCACAAATAACAGACTCACTGAAAGAGAAATTAGGGAAATAATTCCTTTCCCAATAACATCCCCCAAATAACATATCAGAAATCAATCTAACAATGGAGACAAAAGACCTCTAAACTGAAAATTATAGCACTCTGTAAAAGAAATAGAAAAGGACATAAGAAGATGGAAAGACATCCCTTGCTTATGGGTAGGAAGAATCAACATATTGAAAATGGCCAAATTTCCAAAACTGCTACACAGATTCAATGCAATCCCAATTGAAATCATAACAGTGTATTTCACAGCACTGAGAAAACAATCCAAAAATTCATTTGGAACCAAAGAGACCTAGAATACCAAAAGCCATTCTAGGCAACAGAGACATTGCAGAGGTTATCACAATTCTGGACTTGAAACTATATTACAAAGCCACTGTAATAAAAGCAGTATATTACTGGCAAGGAAACAGACCCAAGGATCAGTGGAATAGATTAGAAGATGCAGAAACAACACCAGCCATACTCAGCTACCACATCTTTGACAAAGGAGCCAACCATCCTCTGTGGAAGCAAGATAGCCTCTTTAATAAATGGTGTTGGGAAAACTGGCTTTCAACTTGCCAAAGATTAAAACTAGATCCCTATTTTTCACCATGCACTAAACTAAAATCCAAGTAGATTAAAAATCTAAATATCAAAACAGAGACAATGAACTTAATGGAAAATAAATTAGGTAGAACTCTTGAAGACATTGGCATAGGAGAAGACTTTATGAACAAATCCTCAGCAGCATGAGAACTTGCACAAAGAATCAACAGCTGGGATCTCATTGTATTAAAAAGTTTTTGCAGTGCAAGAGAAATCACCAACAGAGCTAAGAGACAACCTACAATATGGGAAAAAAAATTTACCAGCTACTCCTCAGATGAAGGACTACTATCTAGAATATACCAAGAACTCAGAAAAATCAGACACCCCCAAATACAAAGACCCAATTCAAAATTGGGCATCTGAAATGAACAGACATTTCTCAGAAAAAGAAGTAAAAGTAACAAATAAATTTATGAAAAAATGTACAACATCACTGGTCATTCCAGAGATGCAGATAAAAACAACACTGAGATTCCACCTCACCCCAGAAAGAATGGCTGCTACCAAGAAATCAACCAATAACAAATGCTGGTGGGGTCATGAGGAGAAAGGAACCCTTCTCTATTGGTGGGAATACCAACTGGTGCAACCTATGTGGAAATCAATATGGAGATACCTCAAAGAATAACAATTAATTTGACCCAGCTATCCATTCAACCCAGCTATCCTTCTGCTGGGTATCTTTCCAAAAGAAATAAAAGAATCACACCACAGTGATATATGTGCACCCATGTTTATCATGGCACAGTTCATAACAGCTAAAACTTGGAAACAACCCAAACTAGAGACTAGATAAAGAAGCCCATCAACTAGAGACTGGATAAAGAAGATGTGGTTTTCTATAAAATGGAGTACTACTCAACCATAAAGAATGAGAAACTAGAAACATTTATAGCTAATGGATGCACACTGCGGCTATACTCTTCAGTGAAATAAATAGGACACATTAGTAAATATCAAATAGTTTCTCTGGTGTGAAAAACTAAAAGTGTAAATAACGTTCAAATTATATAATTGAGAGTTTGAAATAGGAAGAAAATGATTAAAGGAGTAAGAGAAGGGGGAAGGAGAGGGAAAAGGAAATAAGGGAAAAGAAAAAAATGGAAACAAACACTAAACAGGGAAGGGTGAAGGGAGGGCAGGGGTATGGGGAAAAAACAAGAAGCAAGATATATCATGTAAAAGTACAAGATCCCAAAGATGAATGTACTTGTACTGTATACTTTAAAAGTACCAATAAACTCAATAAAAAAATGAAACAAGGGGGGTCAGAAAAATGCTGCTAAGGTCTCTTGTTGCTTTTGCTGTCTTCTACTGTCCTGCACCTTGCCTGGAGCCAGCCAATTATGGATTGAAGCCTCTACAAATTGTGAACCAAATGAACCTTTCCTTTAACTTTAGCCCTCTAGGCCTCTAAGTGATTGAAATAAGTTTTATCTCTAAATAATCCTTCATTCTCTATGCCATTATGGTCACACACTGCACCACAATGCGAGTATCATAAAGACATTTATGGATATTTAGGTTTTCCACTTGGTTTCTATTTACATTAGTACAAGCTTAAAGTTAAGGCATAATGTATTGTATTTGTTTTCTCCTCACAGTTGCTTAGTTAAAAAGAAAGTGTCTTGCAAAATTATATTTTGGGTGCTAGTTTAGGATGATAGACTATTTGTGTCACAAGGCTGGTTTTTATTGTTATAGGCAATTTAAAAATATTTTTTTAAATGTGTTAAGCACACTGATGAAGAGGAATTAGGAGAGGAGGAAGAGGAGGAGGAGAGGAGGAGGAAGAGGAAGAAGAGGAAGGGGAATGGGAAGAAAAAGGAGGAGGAGAAGAATATGTTGATGATGATGATGATGATTTGTCTCATGGTTTCAGTTCATCATTAGCTGGCTCCAAGAAAGAACTGGTATGGCAGAAGAAAGCTGCCAGATGATGATGATGATGATGATGATGATGATGATGATGATTTGTTTCATGGTTTCAGTTCATCATTAGCTGGCTCCAAGAAAGAACTGGTATGGCAGAAGAAAGCTGCCTAACTAATGGCAGATAGGAAGCGGGAAGCAGAGAGCAAGGGAAGAGCCAGAAAGAGAAAGGGTGAGGGCAAAAAATATACACTCATGCCCTCAGTGACCTACTTCCAACCATATACTTCCTCTTAAAAGCATGTTCAGCTGAAAGGAAAGAAATACAGTTAAATATTCTCTATAATTATAAAATGCAATATAGATGCTACTGTCTTTATAAGGCAATGATTGACAGAAATAAAATTTGTTCCTAAGTTTTATATGTTAAAAATTCTGATTTATACGAATCCTATTTGCACTCAAGTTTTCAGGAAGATATGCATTACAAAGTATATCTAAATAATGATTAAAATGGGATTTTAAATCCACTGTGGTATCCTGGATTGGAATTTAGAACAGGAAAAAGTGGAAAAAAATGGTGATATCAAGTAAAATGTATATTTTACCAATGTTAATGTCTTAGTTCTTTATCAAGTAAAATGTATATTTTACCAATGTTAATGTCTTAGTTCTGAGAAATGGACCAGGGTAATGTAAGATGTGCTCATTAGGGGAACTTGGTGAAGAATAAACAAAATCTTCTGTACTATGTTTACAAATTTTCTGTAAAAGTATTCCAAAATAAATATTTGGAATAAAATTACTGTGCTTTTGTTTTAGAATGCAACCATCCATTCATATATGCAAAACAAATACAAATAGACACGCAGCACAGAAACAGCAGAAATGAAGAAAAATAGACACTCCAGGCCAAAGTAGAAAAGAGCAAGAAAATCAGACATCTAGCCACCATATTTTTTTTAACAATACACAAAAGTAACCCAAAAAAAGACCTCTCTGAAGCTAGAAAAGTTTTCCTGATATCCATAAGAAAGTGAAAATGAGAATGGACTAAGAAAGTAAAACTCTGCTTTGCCATTCATCAGATAGATACACAGACACAAAGTCAGACAAGTTAATAAAAAAATTTTTCTTAGGAATGTTCTTTATAGTGTCACAAAACCCTTAACTTTGTGTAACTATCAATTTTGTGATCATAGTGAATCCTTTGCTCTAAAAAATTGTCAAAATTTTAGTGTTTGATATTAAGATAAATATTTTATTTTTGGCTAGAATATGTAGGTCACTTTGAAACAGAAACAGCCTGTATTTCCAACCAAGTTGCAGAACCTCAAAAAAAAAGTGCTCCTGGACACATTTCGAATTTTCTTTCAGTTCTGAAAAAAACAGAGTCCTGGATCCATGTTTCATTTGAGGCTTGGTACAGTCCCCGCAATGTACAGCCTGCTTTCTTTTGAGCCTATCAAAATGGCACTTTGTTGTAATTTCTCCTTACCTTCACACTTCTCCAAATTCCTAGAGCTGTTTTTCTTTGTTTGATGACACATTCCCTGCTTCCTTTGAAATACAGACTCCCTCCCTGAAATATACCAGGAATCTTGACTTTCTTTGGGCATAGTTTATTCCTGATTTATTTAAGCTAATTAAACATAGAAGCCTGTTTCATACTAAAAATTCAGGAACACTAGTTTCATAAAAGTGAGCAAGTTAACAAAAAAAGTAGCAAGTTCAAATCCCATATAAAGTTATTAAAAACAGTAAATAAGAAGCATAACATCATCACATACAACAAAATATGCCTGAAAAAGTCACAACAAAATCGATCTAAACTGTAAGTTAATATTTTGAAACTATCCTAATGAATGAAGAAAATGATACAAGATATGAAAGAGCATGATTTAGAATTAGATATACCCAGAAATGATAGAACTCAGGAGAATTAGTAATCAAGAGTAAGCTACACAAGCACAACATAGTTGGGTTCTGCTCACCTTCTCATATTTTCAAATATGAGAATCAAAATAGCAGGTAACTATGTTATCTCTGGAGCTAGAAAGTCTTCTTTGAGCATATGCATATCAGCAAATTTAGTTTCTTGTAACTGTAGGCCAAGATTCCCATTTCTTTCTTAGCTACTCTTACCTCCTGAAGGCCATTTGTGTTCCTCGTTACAGTATGTTGTCTCTTCTCTCTTCAAAGCCAAGAGTGGAGAATCTCACATGGAATCCCTTTCACACTGAATCTTTCTCCAGTAAAAGCCACTGCTTATGAAAGGGAGAAAGACAATATATAAATAAACAAATATGCACCAAGTGGTGATAAATATTTTTTTAAACCAAAAGAATGTTGCATTTGCTTTTTCCTCTAAAATTCTCTTCCGCTGCAATTTTATGTGGCTCACATCTTTTAGGTTTTGGTTCCAATGCCATTTTCTCAAAGAGGTGATCTGAAACTTTCCCTTCTCTCCTCCCCCATTTCTTTCAACCTCTTTATCTTCTATTTTCATCATCATACCAGCCACATTTTGAAATCATTTTTACCATTCATTGCCTATTCTTGTCTTCCCAAAATGAGATTAATGAAATCAGGGTGCTTTATCTCTATTGCCTGATTATCATCTAGTCTTTCGCCCTTAATGTTTAATAGGCATGCCACAGATATTCAGAAAGAAATGAGGAAGGGAAATCAGAGGGAAGGATGCAGAGAAATTTACAGCATCTGTATTCTAGTGAAAATATTTATATTTAACTTTAGAATAAAGAGAAAGCATAAACCTAGTGCTAGAGCAGAACTTCAAATGAGCATGATTATAAACCACAGTCATTTCCTATGCCAGTTAATTTAGAAAGAGTATGAAAGATGTGAATTAGGATTAAATAGCTTCAGACCTCTGCTGCTCTTTTTCCATTGCAGCCTGTAGGATTAGGGGGAGGAGTGAAATTTTGAGACTCTCAATAGCATTTGGCTTCCTACTAGCAGGAAATTGCAATTCCCTATCTTCCTCTCCCTTCTTCTGCTCCCCACCCCACAACTTTTACTATGATCCGATTGTTTGTATCTCCCTTAGTCTTTCCCAGGTACTAGAACTTAATAGGTCATTTCTCATCCACTTTTCTCTTCTCTTTCCGCTTCTCTTCCTCCCTACCACATATTTTGTTTATTCTGTTGTGGTTTGTTTCTGAGAGTTAATCTAGGTTATACCCTCTATCTAGTCATGTTTCCCAGTTGACTTCAGGATCTTCCTCTGTCAACAGTAGTGACAGCAGCTCTCTTCCTGGGCTTCGCGTGGGGGCGCTCTCCTTTCAAGGCCAAGGGGCTAGATTCTTTTCACAATGTCCTCAATTTTTCAGGTTCCCTGACAGCTTTGTGTAGAGTATAAAATTTGGAAAATTTAAATATATCTCTTTTATATAGGATACAATTTGACTCTTATGAGCCAATTTTTGTGTATATGAGCATATATATAGATAGATAGATATAGATATAGATATACACACACATAAATATCTATATTATACATACAATTGTGTACTATTATTTAAAATAAATGTTTCTTGGGCTGGGGATTTAGCTCAGTGGTTCTACCGCCTGCCTTGCAAGCACAAGGACCCAAGTTTGATCCCTGGTATCAAAAATAAATAAGTAAATAAAGTTTTTCTTAATAAAATGTCAAAGTCTTACCATTTCAGAAAATAAAACAATAACCTATCCCATAGGTGAGCCCACGATGCCAGATAAGCAACCTATCTCATAGGGTAGGCAGGCTACATACGATCAACATGAAACTCCCAAGTATTTGGAGATGTGCAATTGTGAAAACAGAAGGGAGGCGCACAAAAAGTAATGGACCAGATAAAGAGAGAAATTGGTGGATCACAGAGGATCTGAATGAGCCACTCTTTTCTTCATTCAGCTGTAAGCAAGGACACTGCTCTGGTAATTATCCATGTTTACTCTTAAGAGGTCCTGACGCCTAAAGCAGCAGATCATTATTTGCAACACCAGTGAAAGACAAGATGGGAGGCACCTGGAGTCAGAGGCGTCTGACCACAATGGGAGGCACCTGAAGTTAGAGGTGCCTGACCCTTTAAAAAGCCTGAGTTGTATTAAGACTCATCAAGACTTCTTCCTTCTCCCTATTCCTGCTACCCTCCGTGATCTTCAATAAACATAGTTATCCAGTATTTACTACAAGGTATATGACATGCTTGGCAATTCTTTCCTCATCACATACAAGAACCTGGACTATTTTAGTCCATTGTACAGTAACAGACCCTCATCTCCACATGAAAAAGGAATTCTAACTTGGTAAAAATATTATACATTATAAAAAAATATATCCAGAATATGCTTTTTAAATACTGCAGACATTTCTTTAAGTATAGTTAGAATGAAAAACATACTCATGCTATTTCAACTAATTAGTGTTCAACTAATTTTTTTTCCCAAAAAAAAAAAAAAAAGATGAAACGGCAGTCAATGGAATTAGATGAGCAGTCCTTAAGCACGTATTCTGGTAATCTTAGTTGTATGACTTCCATGAAGTCACACTGACAGCAAGTTCCATTCCCTCTCCCATAAAGGGGACAAACTTTATATCTCTACCAAAAAAGTGATTCTATTAAAATATGACAATGCCTCACACACAGAAGATGCCCACAAATATTTGTTAAATGGAATCCCCAAAAGGGAATCTGAAGCATTGCCAGCCTTCGATTTATAAAATGAAGGGTTTCCTCTTGTGGCCGTGAGCCTCTAAGGCTTAGCGACACAATCCAAACCTCGAGGCTCAATAGCGTCCAAGAAACTTGGCGAACAGAGCCACACTGCCTGCTTTCACAGCCTGCTTCCGTCTCCCGCGAACCGGGCCCGGCCTCAGGCCCCGCCTCTTCACCAACGCCAAAGCGGCCGAAAGCCACGCCCACGGGCCTGGACCGCGGAGGCTGTCGGGAAAGCCTCCGGCCTCGCGCTCCCGCCTGCCCGCCAGTGACGTCACACGTGCCCTTTG